AGGTGGTGGAGGTTCTCAGGCTTGGCAGGTGTGGAGGTTCTTAGGCCTAGCAGGTGGTGGAGGTTCTCAGGCTTGGCAGGTGTGGAGGTTCTCAGGCCTAGCAGGTGGTGGAGGTTCTCAGGCCTAGCAGGTGGTGGAGGTTCTCAGGCCTAGCAGGTGGTGGAGGTTCTCAGGCCTAGCAGGTGGTGGAGGTTCTCAGGCCTAGCAGGTGGTGGAGGTTCTCAGGCTTGGCAGGTGTGGAGGTTCTCAGGCCTAGCAGGTGGTGGAGGTTCTCAGGCCTAGCAGGTGGTGGAGGTTCTCGGGCCTAGCAGGTGGTGGAGGTTCTCAGGCCTAGCAGGTGGTGGAGGTTCTCAGGCCTAGCAGGTGGTGGAGGTTCTCAGGCCTAGCAGGTGGTGGAGGTTCTTAGACCTAGCAGGTGGTGGAGGTTCTCAGGCTTGGCAGGTGTGGAGGTTCTCAGGCCTAGCAGGTGGTGGAGGTTCTCAGGCTTGGCAGGTGTGGAGGTTCTCAGGCCTAGCAGGTGGTGGAGGTTCTTAGGCCTAGCAGGTGGTGGAGGTTCTCGGGCCTAGCAGGTGGTGGAGGTTCTCAGGCCTAGCAGGTGTGGAGGTTCTCAGGCCTAGCAGGTGGTGGAGGTTCTTAGGCCTAGCAGGTGTGGAGGTTCTCAGGCCTAGCAGGTGGTGGAGATTCTTAGGCCTAGCAGGTGGTGGAGGTTCTCAGGCCTAGCAGGTGTGGAGGTTCCCAGGCCTAGCAGGTGGTGGAGGTTCTCAGGCCTAGCAGGTGGTGGGGGTTCTTAGGCCTAGCAGGTGGTGGAGGTTCTCAGGCCTAGCAGGTGGTGGAGGTTCTTAGGCCTAGCAGGTGGTGGAGGTTCTCAGGCCTAGCAGGTGGTGGAGGTTCTCAGGCCTAGCAGGTGGTGGAGGTTCTTAGGCCTAGCAGGTGGTGGAGGTTCTCAGGCCTAGCAGGTGGTGGAGGTTCTTAGGCCTAGCAGGTGGTGGAGGTTCTTAGGCCTAGCAGGTGGTGGAGGTTCTCAGGCCTAGCAGGTGGTGGAGGTTCTTAGGCCTAGCAGGTGGTGGAGGTTCTCAGGCCTAGCAGGTGTGGAGGTTCTCAGGCCTAGCAGGTGTGGAGGTTCTCAGGCCTAGCAGGTGTGGAGTTTCTCAGGCCTAGCAGGTGGTGGAGGTTCTTAGGCCTAGCAGGTGGTGGAGGTTCTCAGGCTTAGCAGGTGGTGGAGGTTCTTAGGCCTAGCAGGTGGTGGAGGTTCTCAGGCCTAGCAGGTGGTGGAGGTTCTTAGGCCTAGCAGGTGGTGGAGGTTCTCAGGCATAGCAGGTGGTGGAGGTTCTTAGACCTAGCAGGTGGTGGAGGTTCTTAGGCCTAGCAGGTGGTGGAGGTTCTCAGGCCTAGCAGGTGGTGGAGGTTCTTAGGCCTAGCAGGTGGTGGAGGTTCTCAGGCCTAGCAGGTGTGGAGGTTCTTAGGCCTAGCAGGTGGTGGAGGTTCTTAGGCCTAGCAGGTGGTGGAGGTTATCAGGCTTAGCAGGTGGTGGAGGTTCTTAGGCCTAGCAGGTGGTGGAGGTTCTCAGGCCTAGCAGGTGGTGGAGGTTATCAGGCTTAGCAGGTGGTGGAGGTTCTTAGGCCTAGCAGGTGGTGGAGGTTCTCAGGCCTAGCAGGTGGTGGAGGTTCTTAGGCCTAGCAGGTGGTGGAGGTTCTCAGGCCTAGCAGGTGGTGGAGGTTCTTAGGCCTAGCAGGTGGTGGAGGTTCTCAGGCCTAGCAGGTGTGGAGGTTCTCAGGCCTAGCAGGTGGTGGAGGTTCTCAGGCCTAGAAGGTGTGGAGGTTCTCAGGCCTAGCAGGTGGTGGAGGTTCTCAGGCCTAGCAGGTGTGGAGGTTCTCAGGCCTAGCAGGTGGTGGAGGTTCTTAGGCCTAGCAGGTGGTGGAGGTTCTTAGGCCTAGCAGGTGTGGAGGTTCTCAGGCCTAGCAGGTGGTGGAGGTTCTTAGGCCTAGCAGGTGGTGGAGGTTCTTAGGCCTAGCAGGTGGTGGAGGTTCTTAGGCCTAGCAGGTGTGGAGGTTCTCAGGCCTAGCAGGTGGTGGAGGTTCTTAGGCCTAGCAGGTGTGGAGGTTCTTAGGCCTAGCAGGTATGGAGGTTCTCAGGCCTAGCAGGTGGTGGAGGTTCTTAGGCCTAGCAGGTGGTGGAGGTTCTCAGGCCTAGCAGGTGTGGAGGTTCTCAGGCCTAGCAGGTGTGGAGGTCCTCAGGCCTAGCAGGTGGTGGAGGTTCTTAGGCCTAGCAGGTGGTGGAGGTTCTCAGGCCTAGCATGTGGTGGAGGTTCTTAGGCCTAGCAGGTGGTGGAGGTTCTCAGGCCTAGCAGGTGTGGAGGTTCTCAGGCCTAGCAGGTGTGGAGTTTCTCAGGCCTAGCAGGTGGTGGAGGTTCTTAGGCCTAGCAGGTGGTGGAGGTTCTCAGGCCTAGCAGGTGGTGGAGGTTCTTAGGCCTTGCAGGTGGTGGAGGTTCTCAGGCATAGCAGGTGGTGGAGGTTCTTAGACCTAGCAGGTGGTGGAGGTTCTTAGGCCTAGCAGGTGGTGGAGGTTCTCAGGCCTAGCAGGTGGTGGAGGTTCTTAGGCCTAGCAGGTGGTGGAGGTTCTTAGGCCTAGCAGGTGGTGGAGGTTATCAGGCTTAGCAGGTGGTGGAGGTTCTTAGGCCTAGCAGGTGGTGGAGGTTCTCAGGCCTAGCAGGTGGTGGAGGTTCTTAGGCCTAGCAGGTGGTGGAGGTTCTCAGGCCTAGCAGGTGGTGGACGTTCTTAGGCCTAGCAGGTGGTGGAGGTTCTTAGGCCTAGCAGGTGGTGGAGGTTCTCAGGCCTAGCAGGTGGTGGAGGTTCTTAGGCCTAGCAGGTGGTGGAGGTTCTCAGGCCTAGCAGGTGTGGAGGTTCTTAGGCCTAGCAGGTGGTGGAGGTTCTCAGGCATAGCAGGTGGTGGAGGTTCTCAGGCCTAGCAGGTGTGGAGGTTCTCAGGCCTAGCAGGTGGTGGAGGTTCTCAGGCCTAGCAGGTGGTGGAGGTTCTTAGGCCTAGCAGGTGTGGAGGTTCTCAGGCCTAGCAGGTGGTGGAGGTTCTCAGGCCTAGCAGGTGTGGAGGTTCTCAGGCCTAGCAGGTGGTGGAGGTTCTCAGGCCTAGCAGGTGTGGAGGTTCTCAGGCCTAGCAGGTGGTGGAGGTTCTCAGGCCTAGCAGGTGTGGAGGTTCTCAGGCCTAGCAGGTGGTGGAGGTTCTTAGGCCTAGCAGGTGGTGGAGGTTCTTAGGCCTAGCAGGTGGTGGAGGTTCTTAGGCCTAGCAGGTGTGGAGGTTCTCAGGCCTAGCAGGTGGTGGAGGTTCTTAGGCCTAGCAGGTGTGGAGGTTCTTAGGCCTAGCAGGTGTGGAGGTTCTCAGGCCTAGCAGGTGGTGGAGGTTCTTAGGCCTAGCAGGTGGTGGAGGTTCTCAGGCATAGCAGGTGTGGAGGTTCTCAGGCCTAGCAGGTGTGGAGGTTCTCAGGCCTAGCAGGTGTGGAGGTTCTCAGGCCTAGCAGGTGTGGAGGTCCTCAGGCCTAGCAGGTGGTGGAGGTTCTCAGGCCTAGCAGGTGTGGAGGTTCTCAGGCCGAGCAGGTGTGGAGGTTCTTTGGCCTAGCAGGTGGTGGAGGTTCTCAGGCCTAGCAGGTGTGGAGGTTCTTAGGCCTAGCAGGTGTGGAGGTTCTTAGGCCTAGCAGGTGTGGAGGTTCTCAGGCCTAGCAGGTGGTGGAGGTTCTCAGGCCTAGCAGGTGTGGAGGTTCTCAGGCCTAGCAGGTGTGGAGGTCCTCAGGCCTAGCAGGTGGTGGAGGTTCTCAGGCCTAGCAGGTGTGGAGGTTCTCAGGCCGAGCAGGTGTGGAGGTTCTTTGGCCTAGCAGGTGGTGGAGGTTCTCAGGCCTAGCAGGTGTGGAGGTTCTTAGGCCTAGCAGGTGTGGAGGTTCTTTGGCCTAGCAGGTGGTGGAGGTTCTCAGGCCTAGCAGGTGTGGAGGTTCTTAGGCCTAGCAGGTGTGGAGGTTCTTTGGCCTAGCAGGTGGTGGAGGTTCTCAGGCCTAGCAGGTGGTGGAGGTTCTTAGACCTAGCAGGTGGTGGAGGTTCTTTGGCCTAGCAGGTGTGGAGGTTCTTTGGCCTAGCAGGTGTGGAGGTTCTCAGGCCTAGCAGGTGGTGGAGGTTCTTTGGCCTAGCAGGTGGTGGAGGTTCTCAGGCCTAGCAGGTGGTGGAGGTTCTCAGGCCTAGCAGGTGGTGGAGGTTCTCAGGCCTAGCAGGTGTGGAGGTTCTCAGGCCTAGAAGGTGTGGAGGTTCTCAGGCCTAGCAGGTGTGGAGGTTCTTAGGCCTAGCAGGTGGTGGAGGTTCTCAGGCCTATCAGGTGTGGAGGTTCTCAGGCCTAGCAGGTGTGGAGGTTCTCAGGCCTAGCAGGTGGTGGAGGTTCTCAGGCCTAGCAGGTGTGGAGGTTCTTAGGCCTAGCAGGTGTTGAGGTTCTCAGGCCTAGCAGGTGTGGAGGTTCTTAGGCCTAGCAGGTGGTGGAGGTTCTCAGGCCTAGCAGGTGTGGAGGTTCTTAGACCTAGCAGGTGGTGGAGGTTCTCAGGCCTAGCAGGTGTGGAGGTTCTCAGGCCTAGCAGGTGTGGAGGTTCTCAGGCCTAGCAGGTGTGGAGGTTCTCAGGCCTAGCAGGTGTGTAGGTTCTCAGGCCTAGCAGGTGGTGGAGGTTCTCAGGCCTAGCAGGTGGTGGAGGTTCTCAGGCCTAGCAGGTGGTGGAGGTTCTCAGGCCTAGCAGGTGGTGGAAGTTCTCGGGCCTAGCAAGTGGTGGAGGTTTTCAGGCCTAGCAGGTGGTGGAGGTTCTCGGGCCTAGCAGGTGTTGGAGGTTCTCGGGCCTAGCAGGTTGTGGAGGTTCTCGGGCCTAGCAGGTGTTGGAGGTTCTCGGGCCTAGCAGGTGGTGGAGGTTCTCAGGCCTAGCAGGTGGTGGAGGTTCTCGGGCCTAGCAGGTGGTGGAGGTTCTCGGGCCTAGCAGGTGGTGGAGGTTCTCAGGCCTAGCAGGTGGTGGAGGTTCTCAGGCCTAGCAGGTGGTGGAGGTTCTCGGGCCTAGCAGGTGGCGGAGGTTCTCGTGCCTAGCAGGTGGTGGAGGTTCTCGGGCCTAGCAGGTGGTGGAGGTTCTCAGGCCTAGCAGGTGGACCTCATCAATGAGGAGAGTCTTGGCCTGGAGGTTAATGTTGTGTTGGAGGTTGACCTTGGTTGACCTCAACCTCTGGAGGTGCTGAGCTGAGGCATCCAAGGCTGAGTGCAGCCGGCAGATGCTCAGCTCTAACTCCTGGACCTCCTCCAGCAGCGCTACCTCCGCCTCATCCCTGTGAGAGATCATATGTGTCAGGTGCTGGAGTACAGGAGATGAAACACACACACACACACACACACAGATGAAGAGGTGGGGCCAAGAGCTGTGGCTCGGCCCCCACAACCACAACAAGGTGAGTACAACTAGGTGAGTACACAACACACTCACACAACACAACCAATACAACACACACATGATAGTGACATATACTGAGAGGAATTGACAAGAGGGACAGGGTCAGAATATTTGAGAGATGGGACACAGCAACAAGGGGTCACAGCAACAAGGGGTCACAGCAACAAGGGGTCACAGCTGGAAGTTGGCAACTCAGATGAATCATAGGAATGTTAGGAAATATTTTTTCAGCCTTAGAGTTGTCAGGAAGTGGAATAATCTGGAGGTACCATATATTTATAGGTTGAAGAAGAGGTATGATAAGGCGTTTGGAGCAGGGAGAGAGTGGATCTAGTAGCGACTAGCAAAGAGGCAGGGGCCAGGAGCTGTGACTCGACTCCTGTAATCACATATAGGTGAGCACATATAAGTAAGTACACATACACTGAAATGGTAAGAAACAGGATAGTACAGCAGAAACATGGTAAAAGAACTCTACATAATACCAGCAGGTGTATCTTGACCATGACAGAACATGAGAAGAACGACAGAAACAGAGAGGATACAAAAATGCAAGGGAAAGGAAAGAGTGACAAGCCTGGAAACAGGCAGGAATAGCTAGACTCAGGAGGACTAGCAAACATAATCATCTGCAAAGGACCCCAATGGAAATAAGTCACTCTGTCTGACTTTCTTGGGTTATCCTAGGTTCTCTACACATATGCTGCTATGTATGATAATTCTATGTAACTGTATTTGTGTATACCTGAATAAATTTACTTACTTACTTACTTACTTGCAAAACCACCCACAGAACACCTTCAACCCTCTCCACCACAACCAAACACTATAACCCAAAACAAACCTCACTCTGCACTATCCCTCCCCCTCCCAGCACAAACCCCACCTTCACAGCCACCTCTCATAGTATCCTGCCCAGTTTCCTATCCCCCCAACCCCTCACAATCCCCCCAGAATTCAGTTTTTGAAGGTATTTTACACCAATGCAGTTGGAATAACAAATATGTGTGATGAGTGACATGAACGAATCATGGATGCATCCCTAGATATCATAACACTCTAGAAAACAAAGCTCACAGGGATGATAACAGATGTGAGTTTTCCAACCAGATATCAGATCCTGAAGAAAGATATAGGGAAAAGAGGGGGAGGAGGAGTTGCAATGATCATCAGAAACAAATAAAGTTTTGAGGTGAGAGGAATGTACAGAGGAGAATCAGAGGACTACATAGTAGGAACATTTCTGACTGGGGTTCCCAAGGTAGTGGTTGCAGTGATGCCAAGACCACAAAATAACAGGATGCCAACACAAGAGTACAATAAGAGTAGCAGAGCGATGAACACCCTAGCTGAGGTTGCCAGAAGAGCCCACATGGGCAGGGCAAGGTCACTAGTTATGGGGAATTTCAACCACAAGAAGATCAGGAAAACCTTGAGCTACATGGGGGAGAGAGAACCTCACATGCACAAACATGTGAGGGACACTACCAGAGAGAGGGGGGAGAGGATAAACCAGCAAGGCTGTACCTCATATTCACCTTGAGTAGAAATAAATGGTATGAAATACCGACACAATGGAAATATAAACACAAATGCAGTATAATGTGATCCTTTATTGACTACGTTTCGCCCACACAGTGGGCTTTTTCAAGTCACAAACAGAACTACAGTAGTTCTGTTTGTGACATGAAAAAGCCCACTGTGTGGGCGAAACGTAGTCAATAAAGGATCACATTATACTGCATTTGTGTTTATATTTTCACCTTGAGTAGTTCAGACATTGAGGACATCACATACGAAAGGCCCCTCAGAGCTAGTAATCACGTGGTATTGAACTTTGAATACAGTGGAGAGGGAAGCAGAACGAGAAGGCTGGGAGAAACCAGACTACAAAAGAGGGACTACACAGGAATGAGGTAATTCGTGCATGAGGTACAGTGGGAAAGAGAACTCTAAAAAAACAATAAATGAAACGATGGATCACGTGACCGCAGAGTGCAGGGAGGCAGAGGCGTTCATACCCAAGGGCAACAAAAATAATGGGAAGACCATTGTGAGCCCTTCGTTCACCCAAAAGTGTAGAGAAACCACAGCTAAGTGTGCTAAAGAATGGGAAAAGTATAGAAGACAAAGGACCCAGGAAAATAAGGAGATGAGCCAAAGAGACAGAAATGAACATGCATGGATAGGGAGGGAAGGAGGCCCAACGACAATACAAGAAGACGCCACTGAAAGCCAAGTCTAACCCGAAGCTGTTGCACAACCACATCAGGAGGAAAACAATAGTCAAGGACCAGGTAATCAGGCTGAGGAAGGAAGGAGGGGAGATCACAAACAATGACCAGGGAACATGTGAGGAGATTTAGGGAGATATTTTCAGTGGAAATAGAAAGGCTTCCAGTAAACCAAGGTGGAAGTATATACCAACAAGTGCTGAACACAATACACACAACCGAGGAAGAGGTAAAGAGGCTGCTAAGTGAACTAGATACCTCAAAGGCAGTGTTGCCAGACAACATCTCTCCGTGGGTCCTGAGAGATGGAGGAGTGGTGCTGTGTGTGCCACTAACAACAATCTTCAACACATATATCGAAACAAGGCGACTATCTGAGGTGTGGAAGACAAATGTAGTCCCAATTTTTAAGTAAGGAGACAGACATGCAGCATTAAATTACAGACCAGTGCCACTGACATACATAGTGTGTAAACTCATAAAGAAGATTATGTGAAGAGTGGAGGAGCACCTAGAAAATAATGAACTTATATAAGACAACAAGTATGGTTTCAGGGAGGGGAAATCCTGTGTCACAAACCTAATGGAATTCTATAACAAGGCAACAGAGGTAAGACAGGAGTGAGTGAGATGGGTAGACTGCATTTTCCTGGACTATAAGAAGGCTTTCGACACAGTACCTCACAAGAGACTGGTACAAAAGATAGAGAAGTGGGCAGGAAAAGCACCGTAATGAATCAGAAAATACCTGAAATGAAGGAAGCAACGAGTGATGATACGTGACGTGGTGTCAGAGTGGGCGCATGTGTCAAGTGGGCTTCCACAAGAGTCAATCCTAGGACCAATGCTGTTTCTGGTATATGTGAATGACATTACGGAACGGATAGACTCAGAGGTGTCTCTGTTTGCAGATGATATGAAGCTAATGGGGAGAATACAAGCAGATGAGGATTAGATAATAATACAAGAGAATCTGGAGAGGCTGCAACCCTGGTCCAACAACTGGTTCCTGGAGTTTAACCCCACCAAGTGCAAAGTCATGAAGCTTGGGGAAGGAAAAAGGCCGCGGATGGCGTACATGCTCAGGGGTAAAAGGCTGCAAAAGTAATGAGTCATTCACGACACTGTACACAGTGTATGTGTGCAGTGTCGTGCACTGCTGCTGGAGTATGCAGCAACAGTATGGAACCCCACACCTGGTCAAACATATAAGGAAATTACAGAAAGTGCAAAGGTTTGCATCAAGAGTAGTCCCAGAGCTAAGGGGTATGTCCTACGAGGAGAGGTTAAGGGAACTCAGCCTAACCACACCGGAGGATAGGAAGGATAGGGGAGACATGACAGCGACATATAAATAACTGAGAGTAATTGATAAGGTGAACAGAGACAGAATATTTCAGAGATGGGACACATCAACAGAAGGTTACACAATTGGAAGCTGAAAAGTCAGATGAGTCATAGGAAGTTAGGAAGTATTTCTTAAGTCATAGAGTCGTCAGGAAGTGAAACAATCTGGAGAGTGATGTGGTGGAGGCAGGATCTATGCATAGCTTAAAGAAGAGGTATAATAAAGCTCATGGAGCAGGGAGAAAGTGGACTTAGTAACGACCAGTGAAGAGGTTGGGCCAAGAGCTGTGACTCACCCCCGGAAACAACAAATATGTGAGTAAAAATAGGAGAATATAACACACACACATACACACCTGGTTCTCTCCATATTTGGTCTGAGTAAGCGTGTCTGCAGACGGGTGTGGACCAAGGCTAAGGGACCTTTCTTAGCCTCCAGCTGGTCCTGAACCTCCAGCATACTCTGCACCAGCTGTGACTCCTCCTCCACCAACTGTGAAGTGATGATCATTAATATAACCATGAAAATCACACATGGGAGACCAAAACTTACAATTACCTGGTCCAGAGAGAAGAGCGAAGCAGAGGTGAGGTGAGGGACATGACTGGTAGAACAAGACGTAGAAGTAGTAGTGGTAGTAGTAGTAGTAATAGTAGTAGTGGGAGTAGTAGTGGTAGTAGTAGTAGTAATAGTAGTAGTGGGAGTAGTAGTGGTAGTAGTAGTAGTAGTAGTAATAGTAGCAATACTAGTAGTTGTAAAAACAGTAGTAGTAGTAATAGTAGTGGTGGTGGTGGTAGTAGTAATAGTAGTAGCAGTGGTAGCAGTTGTCAAATAGCAGTAGTAAGACAGTAACAAGGACAGTGGACTTGACAGGTTGACAGACCTTGACAGGTAGACAGTAACAAGGACAGTGGACTTGACAGGTTGACAGACCTTGACAGGTAGACAGTAACAAGGACAGTGGACTTGACAGGTTGACAGACCTTGACAGGTAGACAGTAACAAGGACAGTGGTCTTGACAGGTTGACAGACCTTGACAGGTAGACAGTAACAAGGACAGTGGTCTTGACAGGTTGACAGACCTTGACAGGTAGACAGTAACAAGGACAGTGGTCTTGACAGGTTGACAGACCTTGACAGGTAGACAGTAACAAGGACAGTGGTCTTGACAGGTTGACAGACCTTGACAGGTAGACAGTAACAAGGACAGTGGTCTTGACAGATTGACAGACCTTGACAGGTAGACAGTAACAAGGACAGTGGTCTTGACAGGTTGACAGACCTTGACAGGTAGACAGTAACAAGGACAGTGGTCTTGACAGGTTGACAGACCTTGACAGGTAGACAGTAACAAGGACAGTGGTCTTGACAGGTTGACAGACCTTGACAGGTAGACAGTAACAAGGACAGTGGCTTGACAGGTTGACAGACCTTGCAGGTAACAGTAACAAGACAGTGGTCTTGACAGGTTGACAGACCTTGACAGGTAGACAGTAACAAGGACAGTGCTCTTGACAGGTTGACAGACCTTGGCATGCTGGTCTTGCAGCATGGTCTTGGTCCTGCGGGTGTTGCTGTTGTCTGCTGGAGACAGTGGTCCGTATGGTCCAGTCTCTGACGTATCTGTTGGTCCGTGGTCACCAGCAGGTCCTGGACCACACCTGTCAGCTGAACAGAACCCAACACCACTTAGAATTTAGAGAACACTTATAATTTAGAGAACACTTATAATTTAGAGAACACTTAGAATTTAGAGAACACTTATAATTTAGAGAACACTTATAATTTAGAGAACACTTATAATTTAGAGAACACTTAGAATTTAGAGAACACTTAGAATTTTGAGAAGATTTAGAATTTTGAGTTTAGAGGGTGGACAACAACTATCTACCACACGGTAACAAGCTGAAAAACAAGGAACACAATTATAATAGGGGATAACAGAATTTAGAGAACGATTAAATTTAAGAGAAACTTAGAATTTAGAAGAAACTTATAATTTAGAAACACTAAATTCAGATAAACTTAAATTAGAACATTAGAGATTTAAAACATTATAATAGAGGAACAACTAAATTAAAGAAGGATAACTAATAGAGAACAGTTATGAATTTAGAAACATTAAATTTAGAAACACTAAAGATTTAGAGGAAACACGTATAATTTAGAGGAACACTTAGAATTTAGAGGAACACTTAGAATTACAGAGATACACAGATTTGAAGAAGATTAAAATTTTCAGAAGGTGGGATGACAACATATCTAACAGAAGGATAACAACATATTAACAGAAGGATAACAACATATTAACAGAAGGATAACAACATATCTAACAGAAGGAGTAACAACATATCTAACAGAAGGAGTAACAACATATCTAACAGAAGGAGTAACAACATATCTAACAGAAGGATAACAACAGATATAACAGAAGGATAACAACAGATATAACAGAAGGATAACAGCAGATATAACAGAAGGATAACAACAGATATAACAGAAGGATAACAACAGATATAACAGAAGGATAACAACAGATATAACAGAAGGAGTAACAACAGATATAACAGAAGGAGTAACAACAGATATAACAGAAGGATAACAGCAGATATAACAGAAGGATAACAACAGATATAACAGGAGAGATAACAGCAGATATAACAGAAGGATAACAACAGATATAACAGAAGGATAACAACAGATATAACAGAAGGATAACAGCAGATATAACAGAAGGATAACAGCAGATATAACAGAAGGATAACAACAGATATAACAGGAGAGATAACAGAGAGAGTAATTAACACACCTGTTTGGACAGTTTACTGTTGTTGTCAGCTGTGTGCAGAAGTTTAACAACAGTCCCTCTCCAACAGTCAACAGTCACATCACTGTTCAATGTTATTATGTCTGTTATTATTATTATTATTTTTATTATTATTATTATTATTATTATTATTATTATTATTATTATTATCATTATTATTAGGCATTAAACTCACTAGTCCTGAAACGCCATAAGAACATGTATCAAGCCTTCTTAATCCGAGGAAGAGGAGCGTGACTCCTCCTCTCTGGATCAAGATCCCAGCAAGAAGCCTGCCATGTCCATCATGGCGTCGGTGCTTCTCCCGCTCTTGAAGGAACAGGGATACAGGGATACAGGGACCTGGAGTATTGATGCTCCATCACCATGGATCAAGAGCCGCCGTGGAGGCCTCAAAGCACCTCCACTAGCGTTATACTCCTCCCTATACTGAAGGGACATGGGGTACTTGATGGTTATTTTAGGCCCTGGTGGGCAGAGTACTGCAGCTGCTCCATTACCTTGGATGGTGTGTTGTGATGGTGGTGTTGGAGGTGGCAGTGTTGGAGGTGGTGAGGGAGGACGCTGCTTCATCCACCAACACTGCCTCGTTCTTCTCCTTCAGGTTATTGGACAGTTGGTGACCACAAGACAACACTCTGCCGCAGCTGTAACACAAGACAACACTGTGCAGCTGTTACACAAGACAACACTGTGCAGCTGTAACACAAGACAACACTGTGCAGCTGTAACACAAGACAACACTGTGCAGCTGTTACACAAGACAACACTGTGCAGCTGTAACACAAGACAACACTCTGCACAGCTGTAACACAAGACAACACTGTGCAGCTGTTACACAAGACAACACTCTGCGCAGCTGTAACACAAGACAACACTGTGCAGCTGTTACACAAGACAACACTCTGCACAGCTGTAACACAAGACAGCACTGCGCAGCTGTAACACAAGACAACACTGCGCAGCTGTAACACAAGATAACACTCTGCACTGCTGTAACACAAGACAACACTGCGCAGCTGTAACACAAGATAACACTCTGTGCAGCTGCAACACAAGACAACACTGTGCAGCTGTAACACAACACTAGATGCAGCTGTAACAAGGCATGCCACCATGAGCTACACTGAAAAACAAGGGAGAAAATGGCCATGTACAGACAGGAACCAGTCACAGAGGGAGAGGCAATGGGAGGAGGGGAGGGCGAAGTCAGTGTTTATTCATAGGCTGCAAGAGAGCCAGGGTAAGACACACAATGACAGGCGGCTGGCACAAAGGAAGGAGATTGAGAAAATCATCATAGAAATAGGTGAAGAGGACATGTCTGTGATTATAAATTTTCAGAGAACAGGAGGGGGGGTATTGAAGAGGAGAAAACGACTGATCAAGCTGATTTTCAGGACAGAAACAGTGCAGAACAGGATCCTCCAAGAGAAACCATGGTTGAAGGACTCAGCAGAATACAAGAGGGTGTTCCTAGACCGAGACAGAACTCAAATAGAATGACAGCAGCTGAGGGACAGGACACAAAAGCAAAGGGAGCTAGGAGGAGAGAAGGACAGAATCAGCAGAGCACAACCAGAGCAGGGCAGAGCAACAAGAGCAAGCACACACAGAACCATCCCCAGAACCCCACAACCAATCATGCTATCCCAACACAAACCACAATCCACACCCACAGCTCCCACCCAACACTCAGCTATAGCATCTCACAGTATATTTCCAGGTTCCCTACCTTCACAAACACCCCCAAAACACAGTGTCAGAGAGGAAACTGAAGGTATGGTACACAAACACTGATGGAATAACAAATAAGTGGGAGGAATGGCACAAAAGAGTCAAAGAGGCATCACCGGACATCATAGCTCTCACAGAAACCAAGCTCACAGGTGTGATAACAGATGCCATCTTTCCAACGGGATATCAGATCCTGAGGAAAGACAGAGGGAACAGAGGGGACAGAGGAGTGGCACTGCTGGTCAAGAACCGATGGGTTTTTGATGAGCTGGAGAGAGGAGACATTGGAGAAGTTAGGGATTACATAGTAGGAACGCTTCAGTGGTAATTGCAGTGATGTATAACCCACCACAGAACAGCAGGAGGCCAAGGCAAGAGTATGATGAGAGTAATAGAGCGATGGTTGACACACTGGCTGAAGTGGTAAGAAGGGCTCATGTGAGCAGGGCAAAGCTACTGATCATGGGTGACTTCAACCACAAGGAAATCGATTGGGAGAACTTGGAGCCACATGGGGGACAAGAAACGTAGAGGGCTAAGATGATGGAGGTGGTTCTGGATAACTTCATGTACCAACATGTAAGGGACACTACCAGAGGGAGAGGAGAAGATGAACCAGCGAGAATGGAGCTTGAGTAGTGCAGACATTGAGGACATCACATATGAAAGACCCTTTGGGGCCAGCAATCATGTGGTTTTAAGATTCAAATACACAGTAGAGTTACAAGTGGATGGGGGAGAAGGAAGAGCTGGATGAATAAAGCCAAACTACAATAAGGGTGACTATGTGGGAATGAAGAACTTCCTGAACAGGGTTCAGTGGGACAGAGAACTGGCAGGGAAGTCAGTAAACAAGATGATGGAATATGTGACAACAATTTGCAAGGAATCTGAGGATAGGTTTATACCCAAGGGTAATAGGAATAACGAAAAAGCCAGGATGACCCATGGTTCACCCAAAGGTGCAGGGAGGCGAAAACCAAGTGTGCTAGGGAATGGAAGAAATATAGACAGCAAAGAACCCAGGAGAATAAAGAGCACAGTCGTAGAGCCAGAAATAAATATGCACAGGTAAGAAGGGAGACCCAGCAACAATATGAAAATGACATAGCAGCAAAAGCCAAATCTGACCCGAAGCTGTTGTACAGCCACATCAGGAGGAGAGCAACAGTCGAGGACCAGGTATTCAGGCTAAGGAAGGAAGGAGGAGAGATCACAAGAAACGACCGAGAAGTGTGTGAGGAACTCAACATGAGATTCAAAGAAGTGTTCGCAGAGGAGACAGAAGGGACTCCTGAAAGACGGAGAGGTGGGGTACACCACCAAGTGCTGGTCACAATACATACAACCGAGGAAGAAGTGAAGAGGCTGTTGAGCGAGGTAGACACCTCAAAGGCGATGGGGCCGGATAACATCTCTCCATGGGTCCTGAAAGAGGGTGCAGAGCCACTATGTGTACTCCTATCAACAATATTCAACACATCTATCGAAACAGGGAAATTACCTGAGGTTTGGAAGACAGCAAATGTGGTCCCAATTTTTAAAAACGAGATAGACAAGAAGCACTAAACTACAGACCAGTGTAACTGACATGTATAGTATGCAAAGTCATGGAGAAAATTATCAGGAGAAGAGTGATGGAACACCTAGAAAGAAATGAACTTATCAACGACAGCCAACACGGTTCAGGGATGGGAAATTCTGTGTCACAAACCTACTGGAGTTCTATGACAGGGTGACAGCAGTAAGACACAAGAAAGAGGGGTGGGTAGGTTGCATTTTCTTGGACTATGAGAAGGCGTTTGACAGTTCCACACAAGAGATTAGTGCACAAGCTGGAAGACCAGGCAGGGATAACAGGGAAGGCACTACAATGGATCAGGGAATACCTTTCAGGAAGACAACAGCGAGTCGTGGTATGTTGTGAGGTGTCAGAGTGGGTGCCTGCTATGAGGAGTTCCACAGGGGTCAGTCTGGGACTGGTGCTGTTTCTGGTATTTGTGAACGACATGACAGAAGGAGCAGACTTAAAAGTGTCCCTGTTTGCAGATGATGTGAAGTTGATGAGAAGGATTCAATCGGACGAGGACCAGGCAGAACTACATAAGGATTTGGACAGGCTGCAGGCCTGGTCCAACAGACAAACTCCAGGCAACAACTGGCTCCTGGAGTTCAACCCCACCAAGTGCAAAATCGTGAAGACTGGGGAAGGGCAAAGAAGATCGCAGACGGAGTACAGTGTAGGGGGCCAGAAACTACAAACCTCACTCAAGGAAAAAGATCTTGGGGTGAGTATAACACCAGGCACATCTCCTGAAGCGCACATCAACCAAATAACTGCTGCAGCATATGGGCGCCTAGCAAACCTACGAACAGCATTCCGACATCTTAATAAGGAATCATTCAGGACCCTGTACACCGTGTACGTTAGGCCCATATTGGAGTATGCGGCACCAGTTTGTAACCCACACCTAGCCAAGCACGTAAAGAAACTAGAGAAAGTGCAAAGGGAGGAAAGTGCTAAGGAAGGAGAGGTTAATGGAAATCGACCTGACAATGCTGGAAGACAGGAGAGAGAGGGGGGGACATGATAATGACATATAAAATATTGAGAGGAATTGAAAAGGTGGACAGACAGAATGCTCCAGAGATGGGACACAGTAACACAGTTGGAAGTTGAAGACTCAGGTGAAACACAGGGATGTTAGGAAGTATTTCTTCAGTCACAGGGTATTCAGGAAGTGGAATAATTTGGTGTTATAAAAAACGCGATTCTAAAAGCTTAGAGATCTCCAGTGAATACTAGAAAGGACTGCCCTTCTAGCATCCAGCCTGTTACTGGGTTTTCGTAACAAGTAGTCAGTATCCTTGTCCAATTATCCATTAAAATTCAGTATGGTTCAATAGTGTTTTAGGATTACAACTGGTAGGCTACTAACTAGAGAAATTAAAATTTAATAAATTTATTAAGTCTAGAGGTATATCAAATTAAATTAATTACAGCAATCAAAATAAAATCAATCTCTCGAGTTCAATATTATTGTGCTGAAAGCACATATCACATTTATAATTCTTAAGTACCGTTTGGTACATTAACATTTAATAAGATATTACAAATATGTACAAGTAAGTGTGTATGTGTGTAAGTGCTCTTAAGTAGTTAGCTATGTCTCAAGACTCGAATAAGACTTAAACAAGTGACTGACAAAGTCCTCAAATAAACTAACTTCTTGACCGACTGGCAACCCGAACAGTCTGCTTGAACAACAAAGAATGCTAAGCCCAATAGCAATGCAATATCAAGCGACTGCGACACAGAATCAGGAACTGGGAAATAATATAACGACACTAAGTAGGGACCATCAGCAGATCCTCCACAAAAGTTACAAAACTCCCATACTACTGAATCTAAGTTCAGCATAGGAAAAACGCGACTGTGACAATACACAGAAACCAGTACAAAATTAGGTCAGAAGCTATAGCTAAGGACCTGAGATGTTCAGAGTGTCTATGCGACACACAACCTCAGTACAACGTCGAGAATCACGAAGTCTATACAATGTTCTGAGAACAGAGTTCTACAGAACTAACAAGAATAATGAGACAGACAATCTGTCCAACCACCAAGAGAGTCTAGAGCAGACTGAATACTTCAGGCGAGGTGAGGACACCCCCCCTCGATCACGTGATACCCCCTGGACAGCACAGCTCAGAAGCCGGCAGTATAATGAGCGACAAACGATAATTACAGTAGTTTGACAATCAAGACTAACTGAGCACATATTATGTACATCCTAACAACATAAGCTACGTCAAATAACAATATAAGGCAATACATTTGCGATTTAGCTATTATCGCAAATATAAGCAATATAAAATTAAATGAAAAGGTAATATACATTATATATACATAATAATCATTGTAACCCATTCAGGGGTTGCAACATTTGGGAAGTGATGTAGGGGAGGCAGGATCCATTCATAGCTTTAAGAAGAGGTATGATAAAGCTCATAGTGCAGGGAGAGTGACCCAGTAGCGGCCAGTGAAGAGGTGGGGCCAGGAGCTATGAATCGACCCCTGCAACCACAACTAGGTGAGTACACACACACTGCAAACGCATATGGGCGCCTGGCAAACCTGAGAATAACGTTTCGATACTTCAGTAAGGAATCGTTCAAGATTCTGCACCGTTAATGTCAGGCCCATACTGGAGTGTGCAGCACCAGTTTGGAACCACACCTGGTCAAGCACGTCAAGAAATTAGAGAAAGTGCAATGGTTTGCAGCAAGTCTAGTTCCAAAGCTAAGGGGAATGTCCCACGAGGAGAGGTTAAGGGAACTCGACCTGACGACACTGGAGGACAGGAGGGTTAAAGGAGACATGATAACGATATATAAAATACTGAGAGGAATCGACAAGGTTGACAGAGACAGAATGTTCCAGAAATGGGATACAGCAACAAGAGGTCACAACTGGAAGTTGAAGACTGAGATGAGTCACAGGGATGTTAGGAAGTATTTCTTCAGTCACAGAGTTATCTGGATGTGGAATACCCTGGAGAGCAATGTAGTGGAGGCAGGATCCATATGTAGCTTTAAGAAGAGGTATGGTAAAGCTCATGGAGCAGGGAGAGAGTGACCTAGTAGCGACCAATGAAGAGGCGGGGCCAAGCGCTATGACTCGACCCCTTAAACCACAATTAAGTGAGTACACACGCACAGTAGACATGTGGTCATTATTTCTACCACTACTGATCTATGGTCTCAGACTGTTAGACCATGAGGCCTTGGACCACTGTTAGACCATGAGGTCTTGGACCACTCTTAGACCATGAGGTCTTGGACCACTCTTAGACCATGAGGCATTGGACCACTGTTAGACCATGAGGTCTTGGACCACTCTTAGACCATGAGGTCTTGGACCACTCTTAGACCATGAGGCATTGGACCACTGTTAGACCATGAGGTCTTGGACCACTCTTAGACCATGAGGTCTTGGACCACTCTTAGACCATGAGGTCCTGGACCACTGTTGGACCACGAGATCCTAGACCATTGTTAGATCATGAGATCTTGGACCACTGTTAGACCATGAGGTCCTGGACCACTCTTAGACCATGAGGTCTTGGACCACTCTTAGACCATGAGGTCTTGGACCACTCTTAGACCATGAGGTCCTGGACCACTGTTGGACCACGAGATCCTAAACCACTGTTAGACCATGAGATCTTGGACCACTGTTAAACCATGAGGTCCTGGACCACTCACCTGGAGGTCAGCGTCGTCACGAGCCTTCCTTAAGGCCTCCAGGCACCTGGCGACCTCCTGCACTTCCTGTCTTAGTGCCTCCGACACCTCATCTTCCACCTCCTCCACGCCCACACGCCCACGCCTGTCATAACACACACACAGCTTCAACACTATGTATGATAAAGTTTCAGGAAGCCTACAATAGCACACAGCTTCAACACTGGGTATGACAGAGCTTCAGGAAGCCTACAGCACACAGCCTTGAGTAATAGAGATTCTATACGCAGCTTCAGGACTCACCTAAGCTCTATACACTGATATGCCACTTGTAGCGGGTGTTGGTAGAGATTTAGAGCCTTATTGAGCCTCTCCTTTAGGGTGTTAATGGTTGAAGCATCGAGGTCCATGGCTGCACGGCGGTACGACAGTTCTTCCCGCCAGAACTTGAGGTCTGAGAGCCGGTCTGCCAGGCGGCGCTCAACCTCACCTCTGTGACTGTCAGTCAGTCTCTCAGTCTCCTCACACAGCCTCCTGTGGACACACAACACACCATCAACAACAGTCTGGATGATCAGAGGTCCGCTGCACGTTACATTGGAGTACGACACTCTGGGTCACTCTGCAGGGCAGCGAGGCAAGTGCTCAACCACATGAAACGGATAAACAATTGCACTGACCTGTTCTCTGCCCTGGTCCTCTGGGCATGGCTGGCCTGGGCACTGGACTCCTGGATCTTGGCTGAGTTGGACGCCCGCCATATGGCTGGATTAATGGCTGGGGGTGGCAGCCATGCAGTACTGCCAGCCTATAGAGCAAAGAAAAACATTTTTTAATAAAATACTTGAACCATGTATATCATCCTGCATACATCATACGTAATCACAATCATACTCACCATGGTTAATGAGTTCAGTGTATGGTAATTTATCACTGGCAGTGATGAGGAACCTTGTTAGAATAGAAGGTAACTACCAGTTGTAGAAGTCAGTCAGGTGGAGGAGAGGGGCACCAGGGTAGACTACCGTGTAACCAGGGGCTTCCATTGAGGATCAGGTCCTCACATGCTTTTAGGTGATTAATACATTTTTAGAGCACTGTTTTTTAACTGTTTAAGATATAGCGAAAGAAAAAGGAGGAAAAGACTCACCTGACCAGGTCTTCTGGGTGCTACTGCAGGTGCACTGCGTCGTTCCTGACTCCCAGGTATGGTGGCAGGGATGGTGGCAGGGACGGTGTAATAATCCTTGGTATATTCTGATCTTGCAATGCGTTGATCTCGCTTCAGTAATTCGGCTGAAGACATCCTGACTGATGCTGAAGCTGCTACTGATGGCTTCAGGAAGGTCTTGAAGTCTTTAGGAAGGTCCTGAAGTCTTCAGTAAGAGCCTGAAGGCTTCAGCAAAGTCTTGAATGCTGCAGCAAGGCCCTGAAGGCTTCAGCGAGGTTTTGAAGGCTTCAACTAGGTGCTGGAGGCTTCAAAGAGATCCTGAGGACTTCAGAAAGGTCCCGAATGCTTCAGAAAAGTCCTAAAGGCTTCAGCGAGGCCCTAAAGGCTTAAACGAAGTCCTGAAGGCTTCAGGAAGGTGCTAAAGGCTTCACGGAGGTCCTGAATGCCTTATCACCTCACTTCAGTGATGTCCTAAAGGATTCAGTAAGGTTCTCATGACTTTATCACGGTATTGAAGGCTTCAGCAGGGTTCTGAAGGCTTCCCCAAGGTCTTAAAAGCTTCACCGAGGCCTTAAAAGCTTCAGCGAGATCCTGAAGGCTTCAGCGATGTCTTGAAATCTTCAGTGAGGTCCTGAAGGCTTCAGCAATGTCTTGAAGGCTTCAGCGAGGTCCTGAAAGCTTCCTTCAGAGAGCTCATGAAGGCTTCAGAGAAGTATTGAAGGCTTTAGCAAGGTGTTGAAGGCTTCAAAAGGTCCTGAAGATTTCTTGGAAGTTCTGAAGGCTTCAGCAAGGCCCTGATGACATTATCAAGGTAATGAAGGCCTTAGCAAGGTTCTGAAAGATTTCACAAGATCCTGAAAGCTTCAGCGAGGTCCTGAAGGCTTCAATAAGGTTCTGAAGGTTTCAACAAGGTCCTGAAAGCCTCAGTGATGTCCTGGAGGCTTCAGCGAGTTCCTGAAAGCTTCAGTGAGGTCCTGGAGGTTCAGCGAGTTCCTGAAAGCCTCAGTGAGGTGATGGAGGCTTCACCGAGTTCCTGAAAGCCTCAGTGAGGTCCTGGAGGCTTCAGCGAGTTCCTGAAAGCCTCGGTGAGGTCCTGGAGGCTTCACCGAGTTCCTGAAAGCCTCAGTGAGGTCCTGGAGGCTTTACCGAGTTCCTGAAAGCTTCAGGGAGGTCCTGAAAGTTTCAGGGAGGTCCTGAAAGCTTCAGCGAGGTCCAAATAATTGTCCTGGGACGTTTTATCCTGAAAATCCAGAAATTTCAGTCAAAATTGACCGCCATTTTGCAGTCTCTACCCCCCCAAAAAAAAACATTTTTTTTAACCACTAATTATCGATTTATTTCCTGTAAGTTTTGATCCAAGGAAGAGGAGGATGGGTTCCCGATCCCTTGGATCAAAATCTTGTCGGCAGGAAGAAGGATGACTTAGATATATGAGGATGAAGAGCGAGGATGGTCCGGCCTGAGGCTGTGACGGCAGGGGATACGAGCTACGCTTAAATAATAAGACGCTCTTGATTCGAGGAAGCGGAGGTGGATATCTCCCTCCCCACCCCCTTGCTCCGTTGCCTCGGATCAAGAGATGATCCACCTACCCGCTGCCTACCTGCCGTACCTTGCAGGTTTAACAACCGTTGATGTGTATACGAACAACCGTTACCATGGCAACCACACCGCCTTATATACCTCAGATTTATATATATAAATAAATGGATACATCCCGTTTATATATTTATTTAAAATTAATCAATGTACATTTTCCCATGAATATAAATTTAAATGTTTATCTGGCTAAAATAATTAATCTTATTTGACTTCATTTAATGATATAAACTCTTTATAATCATATTTTACAATAATTTTTATATATGATAATTATTAATTTATATTCATAGACGCTCTTAAAATATTTATATAGATAAATTTTGAATGTGTATATGGTTGAAATAACTCAATATTTTAATTGGCGTTATTTAATAATATAAATTATTTAAAGTGGTCCGTCATAATAATTTATATATATAATAATTATTTAATATATATATATTAGTCCCATTAAAATTTATATATATAAATTTATATGGTTAAAATAAGTAAATAATTTAGTTGAACTTATTTAATAATATAAACTTTGAAATAATGTTTTATAATAATTTACATATTTAATAATAATTATTTATATATGTTATAAGTTCCAAAAAATGTATATGTATAAATTTGAATGTTTGTTTATATGGTGATAATAATGTGTGTGTGGCGGCGGTGTTGCAGGTGTTGTTAATATGGTTATTACAGGTGTTTGTCAGGTGTAAGGTGAGTACTGGTGTTAGGTACTGGTGTAACAGTAACCTGGGCATCACTAGTACATCACCTGATAAAATAGTGGTAATAAGGCGGAAACAGTGAATATATGGCGCGCTTGAGGCTTGACCTCCACACCTTGCTAGCCTCGGCGATTATTATTTGCTTTTTATTTCCTGATAGGCTCTTGATTCGAGGAAATGGAGTTGGTTATTATTTCTACGAGGCCTTTCGCGTAAGTTGAGCTCTTGATCAAGGAAGTGAGTAATGGGCTGGGAAATAGTGAAATTATGGACGACTATTATTATTTTATTCCTGAATAGGCTCTGATTCGAGGGAATGGAGTTATCATTATTATCTGTAATTCTTTTCACCTAAATGGAGCTCTTGATCCAAGAAGGTGAGTAATAAGGTGAAATAAGGCCTGTATGATGTCTGCTCATTTGAAACAATTTTCTCATGGGCTTGATCCGAGGAAGTGGAGAGATGTATGTTACAGGTCTCCTTCCCACCAGTGGCAGGCTCTTGATCCAAGGAATGAAGAGGTAAGCAGAAAATAGATGAAATATCACCAGTATAATTCTTGCCTATGACACTTACTCAGTATACATTAATGTTTATTACATGGCAACGTATAATGTAGATTTCAACGTAGCTGCATATTGTTGATTATCATTACATAGCAGCATGATTGTAGATTTGATCATTACATAGCAACATATATGTAGTTATCTACATAGCAACTATATGTAGATTACCTTACTACAACGTATAGTAGATATCATACATAGCACGTATATGTAGATTATCATACTAGCAAATAATGTAGATATCATACATAGCGAACGTATATGTTGATTATCATACATAGCAACTTATGTAGATTATCATACTATTGTAGTTATCATACATAGCAACATATATGTAGATTATCATACATAGCAACGTATATGTAGATTATCATACATAGCAACATATATGTAGATTATCATACATAGCAACGTATATGTAGATTATCATACATAGCAGCATATATGTAGATTATCATACATATATGTAGATTATCATACATAGCAACGTATATGTAGATTATCATACATAGCAAGTATATGTGATTATCATACTGCAGCATATATGTAGATTATCATACTATATGTGATTATCATACATAGCAACGTATATGTGAGATTATCATACAAGCAACGTTATGTAGATATCATACATAGCAGCTATATGTAGGTATCATACATTATGTAGATATCATACATAGCAAACGTATATGTATTATCATACATAGCACGTATCGTAGATATCATACATATATGTGATTATCATACTAGCACGTATAGTAGATTTGATACATAGCAACGTATATGTAGATTATCATACATATATGTAATTTATACATGCAACGTATATGTCCCTGTTTCATATTAGGTCCTTGTTATCATTATTAGGTCCTTGTTATCATATTGTCCACTGTTATCATATGCTCATTTATCATCATTATTGTCCCATGTTATCATTATGCTCATGTTATCATCATTATTGTCCTGTTATCATCATTAGGCTCATGTATCACTATATTGTCCGTTATCATTATGGCTCATTTACATCTATATGTCCCTGTTATCATCATTATGGTCTATGTTATCATCATTATGGTCCTGTTATCATTATGCTCATGTATCATCATTATTGTCCCTGTTATCATTATGGCTCATGTTATCATCATTATTGTCCCTGTTATCATCATTATGGCTCATGTTATCATCATTATGTCCCTGTTATCATTATGGCTCATGTTATCATCATTATTGTCCCTGTTATCATCATTATGGCTCATGTTATCATCATTATTGTCCCTGTTATCATCATTATGGCTCATGTTATCATCATTATTGTCCCTGTTATCATCATTATGGCTCATGTTATCATCATTATTGTCCCTGTTATCATCATTATGGCTCATGTTATCATCATTATGTCCCTGTTATCATCATTATGGCTCATGTTATCATCATTATTGTCCCTGTTATCATCATTATGGCTCATGTTATCATCATTATTGTCCCTGTTATCATCATTATGGCTCATGTTATCATCATTATGTCCCTGTTATCATCATTATGGCTCATGTTATCATCATTATGGTCCCTGTTATCATTATGGCTCATGTTATCATCATTATTGTCCCTGTTATCATTATGGCTCATGTTATCATCATTATTGTCCCTGTTATCATTATGGCTCATGTTATCATCATTATGGCTCATGTTATCATCATTATGGTCCCTGTTATCATCATTGTGCTTTTCTATTCTTTCCTATAAAATATTTTGAAATTTGTATAAAATTCCTAAAATTTTTTTTTTTTTTTTAATTCTTAAAAATTCTTAGAAATTTCTATATTTTTCCAATAAATTCTCATTAATCCCTAATTTTTCATAAATTTTTCAAAATTCTTAAAAAATTCCTACAATTTTTTTATATTCTTGAGAAATTACTAAAAAATCTTATAAACTCTTTTAACATAAATTTCCTATAAAATTCTTATATATTCCTATGAAATATTCATTTTTTGTAGAAAAATTCTTGGAATTTTTCATAAAATTCTCATAAAATCTTATAAAATTCACATTATATTCTTATATACACAAAATTGTAATACTTCGCACTTATGATTTTATGAGTTGTTAGTCATAATAATAATGATAATAATTATAATAATTTTAATAATCATAATCATGTCAATAACAATTACAATGAAAAATGTCATAATTATGAATCACAATAATTATAATAATAATAATTTGAGTGTCACAATATTGTAATACAATAGTAGTAGTAGTAGTAGTAAAAATAATAATAATAATAATAATAATTTGAGTTGGTCAGGTTATTATAGTACTGTAGTAGTAGTAGTAGTAGTAGTAGTAGTAGTAGTAATAATAATAATAATAATAATAATAATAATAGTATGAATGTAATAATTTCAGCGTCATAATATTGCAGTACAATATACTGTATTAATTAATATTGTGTTGTCAGGTCTGGGTTGGGTACGAGAGCTAGACGAAGATGTCAAAGAGAGCTCTGGATGACGGGGGCTCTAGCTCTGCACCCCCGGCCAAGAACCTCAAGGTTCAGTTCGAACCCATCCAGCTGGGCTCTATTTCCACCCTCGACGAGATGGATATGAAAACCCTGCGTTTCCAGAACCACAAGTTGTATCAGGTGAGCACATCTGCAGTAATGTGTCACTGCTTTAGCACCCCTAAGGAATTACATAATGTAATGTTTCCAGAGCCTTGGGCTATATCTTGAAATTTGGCAATAACTTACCAGTAACGGCCTGTTTTTAATGACCTATTTATAATTATCAGTTTGTAGCTACAGGAACATAGCAGTGTTAATGGTGTCTTGCCTGACATTGGTCATTATAGAATTGCTTAACCTCCACAAGGAAGTGGAGAAGAATCCTTCCTGTGTAAGTCATGTGTCATAAGAAGTGACTAACATGCCAGCAGCAAGATGCTAGTAACCCCCCTTTTGTATAAATTAATTAATACTGGCAGCAAGATGCTGGTAACCCCCCTTTTGTATAAATTAATTAATACTGGCAGCAAGATGCTGGTAACCCCCCTTTTGTATAAATTAATTAATACTGGCAGCAAGATGCTGGTAACCCCCCTTTTGTATAAATTAATTAATACTGGCAGCAAGATGCTGGTAACCCCCCTTTTGTATCTTCTTTTTTGAGTGACCTTGCTGCCTTGTTGGAAGACAGTGTTATGTCTTGATGTTAAACTAGCACTTCCTTCATTCCTAGTCTTAGTACCATTGCTGTCACCTTCACAAGCATAATTTAATGTTGCATTAACATCATCCTCGATGTTGATGGTGTCACGATTAAACTGAATTTCCGAAACTTCACTGCGATAAATGTGGAAATGTCAGTCAGTCATGGTGAGCCTGTGATGGTGAGCCTGTGAAGGTGAATCTGTGATGGTGAGCCTGTGATGGTGAGCCTATGATGGTGAGTCTATGTTTACTAAGTGACATTACCCACAATGACCGCGTATACCCACGTGATCTGGATTGTTTCCCTAAGAGGCATGAGGTAGCTAGTAAACCAGACAACACAGCTGAGGCCTAAGGTGGCAGTGTGCAGCAAATTTGAGACCTAGAAAAATTGTGTGTACTAGTACGTCAGACGCTGTTTATAAGTTAATGTGTGTTAACATGGGATAATGTGTGTTAATATGTGATAATGCATTAATGTGTTACTATGTGATAATGTGTGTTAATATTTGATAATGTGTGATAATATGGGATAATGCATATGTTAATGTTGGATAATGTATGTGTTAATATGGGATAATGTGTAGTAATGTGGGATAATGTGCAATAATATGGGATAATATGTGTTAATGTATGTTATGTTAATGTATGTTACAGAGACTAGAGCAGAGGAAGAGGATAGAGGATGAGTTAAGGAGTCGTATAGAGCAACTGGAGAAGCGTCAGACACAGAGTGATGACGTACTCACCGTCATCAACCGTTACTGGAACCAATTCAATGAGGACATAAGACTCATGTTGCAGCGCTTCGACGCAGAGACGGCCGATGAGTCAGAAACACGAAGTGAGTTGGTACTTTTTGGCAAGAGGCGCAGCTCTGGGGTAGACTAGGTTCTGGTCAACTCAGTGGTGTAGATGATGATGCTTTGGTAGATGCAATGGTGTAGACAATGATGCTCTGGTAGACTGGTGTAGACCTTGTTCTGGTAGACTCTGTGGTGTAGGTAATGATGAAGAATTGAGACACTTATACAACATATGGGAATCTTTATTGAAGAAACGTTTTGCCACACAGTGGCTTCATCAGTCCAGTACAAGGTAGAAATGGGTAAGGAGAGGAGGAGAGTGAGGTAATCAGTCCCTCAGCCTGGAATCGATGTGTTCAGTCCATCACTCTTGTAAGAAGTACAGCATAGGGACAGAGAGGTGGCTTATATACTGCAGTCAGGTGAGTCGAAGCAGGAGGAGGCAGGATCACAATGGGACCTTCCACTAGTGTAAGTAGGTCGTCATCCAAAGGTTGGACAAGCATTGGACGATGACTGCTTACACGAGTGGAAGGTCCCACTGTGATGCCACCTCCTCCTGCTTCGACTCACCTGACTGCAATATATAAGCCACCTAAACAGTTTTTTCCAGTTTCGTTCTTTGAAATACATGTATAGTGAAAACATCACTGTATTACAGAATCATCATATATACTGTGGTGGAGAATAGTGTATAACGTACAAGTTTTTTTTATTAATCCTTTTCAGTGACATTTAATCAAAATTTGAAGTTGACTATAATACAGAATGTTGCATATTTAATTTAGGCACAACTAAGTTAATTTCTTAAAGCCATAGTGCATTAACATTTAAGAAAGTTTTAATATATTAATGCAAAATGACTTTAAAATATTTGGTAATCAGTATTGGGATGGTGTTACTATGCGGTCTTCGGTTGTGTGAGTTAAATGATTAATTGGAAAAGACCCTCTTGGTCGAGTACCTGTAAACTTGTTGACCAATGATCTCATATTATTATTTGCAAAATTCCTTGCAGTTCAGCCCGTTCTCATATGTAATCTCAGCTCCACCGCAGCTTCTTCCCTTAGAACTGGATCCAATCACATTGTGGCAACGTGTGCCACTGTTGGGTTCCCTCCTGACACTAGTGCATCATTACCACCAACTCAGACTAATAGAGCATTAAAAGGTGTCTGATTGTGGGAAGTAATACCTCTGGTGGATTTGTGTTTATTGCTGCAATAATAGCATCCTCTGTGATAATCGTACTGGAACTCAAGTCAAGACTTAGGAAGCACAACAACACAACCTCAACGGAAGTGTCTCGTCCAGGGGTCGTTGGTGACCCCATGGTTGCTGGTGCTCCAAGGGTTGTTGGTGACCCCATGGTTGCTGGTGCCCCAAGGGTTGTTGGTGACCCCATGATTGCTGTAGGTCAACACTTGTCATGTCTTGACATGCTTTTCGACACACCCACCATCTCCCACCAAGTAATTTATTCCCCCCCCCAAAAAAAAAATAAATAAATACGTTCACCATCATTCAGTCAACAGCTGTTTGAACCATTTTTCACTATGAGATGTTCATGTTGCAGACGAGAGTGAGGCAACTACCTCGTTCCTGACGCAGTTGTCCACCTGGGACCGGGAGGAGCTGGACGAGAAGTTGGTGAACCGTGTGCAGGTGTCGAAGCGAGCTGTCGCCAAGATCGTACAAGCCTTCGACCGCTTGCACCAACGCAACGAGAAAGTTGCCCGGGCCCTCAAGGGTGAAGGGCTTGAAGTTGGTGAGTGTGTGTTGGTGTGTTTGTGTTGTGTTGTACTCTGTAATGTATTGCTATGTGTTTGTAATGTGTTGCTGTGTATTTGTAATGTGTTGTACTTTGTAATGTGTTTGTGTGTTTGTAATATGTTGTACTCTGTAATGTGTTACTTTGTTGTTTGTAATGCGTTGCTATGTGTTTGTAATGTGTTGTACTTCGTAATGTGTTAGTTTGTTGCTTGTGATGTGTTGCTTTGTGTTTGTAATGTGTTGTTGTGTTTGTAATGTGTTGCTTTGTGTTTGTAATTGACTCTGTTCACTGCAACATTGTCTGTGTTGGTAGACAACAACCACTCTGGGAGGTACTATAATCGTGTGTGTTGGTAGACAACAACCACTCTGGGAGGTACTATAATCGTGTGTGTTGGTAGACAACAACCACTCTGGGAGGTACTATCATCATGTGTGTTGGTAGACAGCAACCACTCTGGGAGGTACTGTCATCCTGTGTGTTGGTAGACAACAACCACTCTGGGAGGTACTGTCATCCTGTGTATTGGTAGACAACAACCACTCTGGGAGGTACTATCATCCTGTGTGTTGGTAGCGACAACCACTCTAGGAGGTACTATCATCCTGTGTGTTGGTAGACAACAACCACTCTGGGAGGTACTATCATCCTGTGTGTTGGTAGACAACAACCACTCTGGGAGGTACTATCATCCTGTGTGTTGGTAGACAACAACCACTCTGGGAGGTGCTATCATCCTGTGTGTTGGTAGACGAAAACCACTCTGGAAGGTACTATCATCCTGTGTGTTGGTAGACAACAACCACTCTGGGAGGTACTGTCACGTGGAATCATGACACTAACATGTCATTGGGACAGTGATATCTGATGACTTGATTGAAGATATGACAGTTGCACCTCAGTCTTTAGTCATGTTAAACACCGTCTTGGGAATACTGTGGACAGTTTGTCCCATACACTAGTGTTCTAGACCACTGCACATGTTAGACTGTATAGTACACAGTACAATCATTGACTTCTTTCAGTGTCACTTGACTTCACTATCACTCGTTTGCAAAGATTTACTGGTAAATATTTTGGGTTCTCTTTATTTTTTCATCATCACATCAACCATTTCTTACCAAGGCAGGGGTGACTCAAAAAGAAGAAACACTATAATCATCATTCACTCCATCTCTGTCTTCCCAGAGGTGCACCTACACCACAATCTGCAACATATCTCCACCCCTCCATCAGAGTGCAGGCACTGTACTTCCCACCTCCAGGACTCAGATTCAGCTGACTAGTTTTCCTGAATCTCTACATAAATGTTACTTTGCTCACACTCCAACAGCACATCATCATAAAAACCATTTACCTCCACTGACTCCTACCTGTCACACTCACATGGTGCCATGGCAGGTAGAGAGAATTGCTGATGATACCTCTGTCAACATGGTTGCCTAACTTGCATTTCAGCGTGGCACACCTGCTTCAGTTCTATCTTTAAATTATAACAGAGCCCAGGTGAGAGTTATAGTGATGGGTCCTCCTGTTAAGGCTACTTCTACATGACTCCTTGTCTCAGCATGATGTGGCCTTGCCTCGTCGCGTGGCCTTGCCTCGTTGCGTGGCCTTGCCTCGTCGCGTGGCCTTGCCTCGTTGCGTGGCCTTGCCTCGTCGCGTGCCCTTGCCTCGGTGACTGGCATCGTCCACCTTCATACCTAACATTAGGTGAAAAAAAAAAATCTCTAACCTGGCGTCTAGCCATTGTGTCTAGTAACTTTGATGGCAACTCTGACTGTGTTACTAAGTCAAAGTCTTCCTTGACTCTGAGGTATTGTTAACTTAACCTACTAGTTATATCATTAGTCTAACAGCTGGTTCTTATCTAGAATGTCTTAGAAGAGGAGTTTTCTTGGGCAAACACAACCAACAAGTGTCTTGTTGGTTGTGTTAGCTAAAACTAACAAGTGTCTTCTTGTGCAAGAAAGGTATAAAATACCGACAATATAAAAGTTTAGACACATGTACAACAACTGGATATCTTTATTGTAGATGTTTCGCCATCCAGTGACTTTATCAATACAAATTCTAGGACATAATTAGAAGACAGTAGAACTGTACACAAAAGATGAGGTAATCAGTCCCTCAGCCTTGAAGTTAGTGTTTAAAGCATCGTGGTGGTGGAGAATCTGGAGCAAAGGCAAGAAGACTGGCGGTTATATAGGCATCAGTGGTTAGGGACGTGTAGCAGACGAGGACATAGTCACTGGTAGGCGGGATTCCCCAGTGGAAGTAGGTCCTACCCAAAGGGACATCTGCAAGACCTTCTTCATGGCTACTACAACTAACCCATCTCTTTGGGTAGGACCTACTTCCACTGGGGAATCCCACCTACCAGTGACTATGCCCTCGTCTGCTATATGTCCCTAACCACTGACGCCTATATAACCACCAGTCTTCTTGCCCTTGCTCCAGATTCTCCACCACCATGATGCTGTGAACACTAACTCCAAGGCTGAGGGACTGATTACCTCATCTTTTGTATATAGTTCTACTGTCTTCAAGTTATGTCCTAGAATCTGTATTGATAAAGTCACTGGATGGCGAAACATCTACAATAAAGATATCCAGATGTTGCACATGTGTCTTAACTTTCAAGTGTCTTCTTAGTTCTAGTAAACACAACTAACAGGTGTCTTGTCATGGCTAGATTTACTGTGGTATGTGACTTGACTGCTCATTTGTACTCTAGGAAAGAGGAGGTCCTGACCCCCTTCAACCCTCTCTGGGAAAGAGGTGGGGGGGTCCTGATCCCCATCAACCCCCTCTGGGAAAGAGGTGGGGGGTCCTGATCCCCATCAACCCCCTCTGGGAAAGAGGTGGGGGTCCTGACCCCCTTCAACACCCCTCTGGGAAAGAGGTGGGTGTCCTGACCCCTTTCAACCCCCTCTGGGAAAGAGGTGGGGGTGCTGACCCCCTTCAAACCCCTCTGGGAAAGAGGTGGGTGTCCTGACCCCTTTCAACCCCCTCTGGGAAAGAGGTGTGGGTCCTGACCCCCTTCAACTCCCTCTGGGAAAGAAGGGGGTCCTAACCCCCCTCCTCTATCCCCAAGGTTGGTCAGTAGAAGTCTAGCAGAGACAAGTGGCTGGTCTACCAGCTGTGTATGGTTGCTTGCTGCTGCTGCTGCCAGCACCAACAGTCTTGTAGACCAGGCAGTTGATGTTAAGCTCTAGCTCTAGGACCCATCCAGTGTGTGGTGTGTGTGTGTGTGCTGATAAAAGTTGTTTCTTCTCTGACAGAGACACCTCCAGTGCTGGAAGAGAGTGTGAGAGAACTCAACTCTGAACTTCAGACTGAGAACAAGAACCTTCATGCTCAGAACCTCTCCTTCCATGAGAAGCATCACCTTATGTGTCTCAAGGTATGTTTGAACCTCTCCTGCCATGAGAAACACTATCTCAAGGTATGTTAGAACTTCTTCTGCCATGAGAAACACTGTCTCAAGGTATGTTAGAACCTCTCCTTCCATGAGAAATATTTTGTCTCAAGATATAGTCAGTTGTCTTATAAAGCTCCTCTATATATAATCTGTCTCCACTTCTTCATTGAAGCAGTTACACTTGCTGACCATGCTGAGGCTGAAGAAATACTTCATGACGTCTCTGTGAATTGTCTCTGTATTTAAGTCCAACTGTGTCCCTAAGTACCTGTTTCCCACCTCTCATACAGCCTGTCACTGTGTACCCTAATAATTCCACTGAGAATGTTTGATGTTGTGACCATGTCTGTCCTGGTTCTTGTCCTGTAGTGTTGTTGTTGTTGTTCACAGGTAGCGGAGCTGGAGGAGAAGCTCCAGGCTATGGACACGGAGAAGGCAGAGATGCAGAACCGCATCGAGGACATGGAGTACGACCTGAACAAGACACGTTCACGGTGTGAGAAGGTGGAGAGTCACTTGGCGGACACTTGCCAGAAGTTGAAAGCCATCCAGGATGAGTGTGGCCTCAACTCCAGCGGCAATGTCAAGGCCGGAGACGTTCTCCCTGGCGGTGGAGGTGGAGGCAGCGGAGGCAAGATTACTTCCACCATCTCCTCCAAGAAAGTAAGTGGCTCTCTACCCCTTACCTTGTGATATAGTCAACCCTCCATGTAATGCACTGATAGAGGTATCCCTTATATCAGAATAATGTTCAAAATACTAAAAATTGAGTACTAAAGTACTCCACTGTGTGCCAAGCATATTACAGTACAGATATACTGCAATGAAGTTCAATACGTCTCTAAGCAGTATATCTGTAAAGTACATACTGGAGTACTTCACAGATTTTTTCAGTGCACCAGCTGTATCCCACCTAGGCAGGGTGACCTAAAAAAAGAAAAACAAAAGTTTTTCTTTTTAAATTTAGTAGTTTATACAGGAGAAGAGGTTACAAGCCCCTTGCTGCTGGCATTTTAGTGGCCTCTTACAACACACATGACTTATGCAGGAAGAATTCTTTTCCACTTCTCCATGGAAACTTTAGAGATGTACTAAAATAACCTCTGCAATTTATGAACAAACACAAGAATGGACAAGGGGCTTGAATCGTGGTCCGTCAATTGACAGTCTGACGCTCTACTGTCAATTTAAGGACTGTGGTTCAAGCCCCTCATCCATCCTTTTGTTTATTCATTGACAGTTGTTTATTACAACTTAATATGAGTTCACTGCAGTACATCCATACACAGTATATACCTGTCAAGTACTACAGATATACTTAAATCTTTCTTCTTTCAACAGACTGGCAGTATCCCACCAAGGCAGGGTGGCCCAACAAGAAAAAAAAATTTATCTTTTTAACTTTAGTAATGTATACAGGAGAAGGGGTTACTAGCCCCTTGCTCCTGGCATGTTAGTCGCCTTTTACAACACGCATGGCTTACGGAGGAAGAATTCTGTTCCACTTCCCCATGGAGATAAGAGAAAATGAACAAGAACTAGTAAGAAAATAGAAGAAAACACAGAGTGGTGTGTGTATATACTCTTGCACATGCAAGTGTAGTGTAACCTAAGTATAAGTAGAAGTAGCAAGACGTACTTGAAATCTTGCGTATTTCTTCTTCCTTTCAACGTACCAGCTGTATCCCACTGAGGTGGGGCGGCCCAAAAGGAAAAATGAAAGTTTCTCCTTTTAATTTAGTAATATACACAGGAGAAGGGGTTACTAGCCCCTGCTCCCGGCATTTTAGTCGCCTCTTACAACACGCATGTCTTACGGAGGAAGAATTCTGTTCCACTTCCCCATGGAGATAGGAAATAAACAAGAACGAGAACTAGAAAGAAAGAGAAGAAAACCCAGAAGGGTATGTATATATATGCATATACATATATGTGTAGTGTGACCTAAGTGTAAGTTAGAAGTAGCAGGACGGTAGTACGTCCCTGGATGGTGCTGTCTACCAACCTTCTTAAGGAATTATGCAGGTACAAAGTTAGCAGTTTGGCACAATTTACACATTGGCAATTTTTGCCCATTTTGAGTGCCATTTTAAGCCAGTTCAATTGATCAGTTATACCAGATTCTTAGCTATTTTACTGATATGTCTTCTGTTCTGTTCTGTGCATGTATAGGGTAGTTTCTATTACAACTGCCCTATACATGCGCAGAAGTTGGTATTTTGGCCAATTTTACACAAAATTAAACAAAAAAATCCAATTTAAAATTTTTTTTTTTTAACACATTGGCAATTTCCCACCAAGGTAGGGTGGCCCGAGAAAGAAATACCTTCACCATCATTCATTCCATCACTGTCTTGCCATAGGCATGCTTACACTACAGTTATAAAACTGCAACATTAACACCCCTCCTTCAGAGTGCAGGCACTGTATTTCCCATCTCCAGGACTCAAGTCCAGCCTGCCAGTGTCCCTGAATCTTTTCATAAATATTACCCTGCTCACACTCCAACAGCACTTCAAATCCTAAAAGCCATTTGTCTCCATTCACTCCTGTCTAACACACTCACACATGCTTGCTGGAAGTCCAAGCCCTTGCACACAAAACCTCCTTTACCCCCTCCCTCCAACCTTTCCTAGGCTGACCTCTACCCTGCCTTCCCTCCACTACAGATTTGCACACTTTAGAAGTCATTATATTTTGTTCCATTCTCTCTTCATGTCCAAACCACCTGAACAACCCCTCCTCAGCCCTCTGGATAATAGTTTTGGTAATCCTGCAGTTTCTAGATTCCAAACTATGAATTGTCTGTACACAAATAACCCGCACATAGAAGAGAGGAGCTTCTTCTTCTTCTTGTCCCTCTTCCCTTTTCCTCTCTCCTTTTTCTCTTTTGGGTTGTCTTTCTTCTGCCCTGTGTATTTGTTCCTTCCTCATTTATTTATTTCCCCCCCCCTCGGTGTTCTTGCTTTTACTCTCTCTGGGCGCCTAGCAACCCTTGCAGTGCTCCACTTAGTATTTGATTGGCTCCTCCTCCTCTTACTACCTCCCCACTACTATTTCCTTCCACCTCTACTACTACTACTGCTGCTGCTGCTGCTGCCGCCGCCGCTGCTGCCGCCGCCGCTGCTGCCGCCGCCGCTGCTGCCGCCGCCGCTGCCACCGCCGCTGCCACCGCCGCTGCCACCGCCGCTGCCACCGCCACCGCCACTACCACCTCCTGCCTATATATACCCTTCCTGCTCTCCTTTTCACTAATGTGACTTTGCAAATGTTCCAAGTTGGACCGAAACGTCGTCGTAAGCTTCTCTCTTCTATGAGCGGGTTATTTGTGATTGTTCCAGTCATGGTATTGTGCCTTTTTTGTTATTTATGAATTCTCTACAATATGTTTACAATACACATTGCTATCAGACATGACATCTCCACTGCCTCCAGCCTTCTCCTTGTTGCAACATTCATTACCCATGCTTTGCGCCCATATAAGAGCGTTGGTATAACTATACTCTCATACATTCCCTTCTTTGCTTCCGCTCCTGAATCCAACCAAAATCATCTCTTTCAAATATGACAAAATAACCAAAATAACTACTCTGAAGAAAACAGTGAATTTCTTTCATTATCAAGGAAGTGTAAAAATAATAAGAGAGCAGAAGGCTTATAACGCTGAGATATCATCTCACATATAACCTGACACCTGACCCAACACACTGGGTGTGGGAGTATAGTGAAGATTTAATGTCAGGTCACGTGTCGAGTAAAATTTACGAGTGACATGTCAAGCATTGCTTAAATTCCTCACAAATTCTATTAATTATAAATGAATCTAATTTATATAACACTGACGTAATCTCTGTCTCAACGAACCGGCTGTATCCCACCGAGGCAAGGCGACCTAAAACAAAAGTTTCTCTTTTTAAATTTAATTATGTAATGCTGAACTAATAGTCATTAAAATCAATTCTGTTTTTTATGAAATGATTCATTTATATTCTCTCAACAATAGACCTGCTTGATGCAACTTTCTTGGCCTGTTGAAAATTAATTGGATGATTAAGATCTCTCACATGATAAGCAGAGCATTAGAATCTTGTCCAGTTCTAATGCTATATTTATGTTATCTTAGTTCAAGACTTTTTCCAGTTTGACCTTAATAAACTTTATTACATTTTTTACTACAGCATTTTGGGGGGAATTTTTAATCAGATTTTTTTTTTTTACTCTATGAAGATTTTTAAATACAACTTTGTTTTTAAAATTAAATAGAGAATGTTTATCAAGAAGGTTTTCATGGTAAGAGAGAACCAACATACTCTTAGTTGAATGTATGTTTGTCCTTTTTTGAATTGTAAAATGTATTTCTAGCAATTTTAAAAGATTTATCAATTAACTCTTTCAGGGTCGGTCCTGTAATACTATGCCAAAATTCTAGCGGCTTCCAATCTTGCGGGAGAAAGTTGGTAGGCCTACATATTAGAGAATGGGCCTGCATGGTCAGTGTGCACAGTATAAAAGAAATCCTGCAGCACATAGAAAACTGAGAAAAAAACTGCCACCGTGTCTTTGGTGTAAAACAGTGAATTTGTGGTGTATTTTTGTTTGTTTTTATGGTTGTGTTCTCAGTTCCTTCGTCTCATTTGATAGAATGGAAGATATATTACAGAAATAGAGATGATTTTGAATAGTTTACAGAATAAAAGTAGCTTGAAATTGGGCTCATAATAGCAGAAATATTCAATTTTTGCCAGTGTTCAAGAGTAAACAAAATATATCACGCATCCAATGCATGTCAACTGGCCAGTCTAATATGCACTCAAGAATGCACTGACATTATTTATATAATTATTACCATTATGCAGTAGTCTGAATAACAGTAGATCTTCTGTTTTTTTGTGTGAATAAAAATTCAAAACGAAAAGCAAGTGCATTATAAGAGGGCCGGGAGACATGACTAATGAACAGATAAAATGTTATTTTAGTGCCAGGAATGTCTGCATTCTTTATGCTGGACCCTATTTTGAAATTGGCCTTTCTTGAGAATTTTGTGTGAAATTGGCCAAATTAGTAATTTCTGATTAATTTATTCGGTAGTTGAAATTGGTAAATGGACAGTTTCTTGTACTCGGTCAATAGAATAAAAGATGTTCAGGCTAAACAGCTATGAGTTTGGTCGACTGGAAAAATAGAATTCATCGAAAATAAAGCTCAAAGTGGGCAAAAACGCTTATGTGTAAATATTGCTGATACCGCTAACTTTGTGAGAGTGTAATTCCGTAAGGTTTCCATCAAATTTCGTGCTTTTGGTTTCATTACCTATCAAAAAAAATTCTCTGTCATTTATTTTATTATTTTTTTTTTAAATTCTTCGACCCTGGGAGCAAGTTTGTGAGTTGGGGGTCTCAACCCTCAAAAGGTTAAGTGTTTTAGGTATTTTAGATCATTAGCTATTTCATAAATCTTTAAAATTTAGAGACAAATTGCTTAACAAAATTCTTCCCAACAGAGCTAAATGGTACAGATATGCTGATGGTTTATGCTTAATGTCTAAGAATATGTACATAAACCATTACCTCGTTGAATTAAAGAGTCTAGTTTATTCCATAAAGTTTACTGTTGAGTTTGAACAAAATAACTCATTGCCTTTTTCAGATGCCTTAACCCTTTGA